GTCCGAGACGAAATGGCGGTGAGCCAGATGATCCGCGTTGTTGTTGTCGTCGTCGTCGTCGTCGTCGTTGTTTCGGGAACGCAGTAACGAGGCGAGGTGTTGGGGGGCCAACAGGGACAACGACGATGTCGATGACGATGGGATGAGGCTACAGGTGTCGGATAGAGCGGTACGCACGGGGGTGCTGGTTACGTAGGATCGCGTAGTATGGAAAGTAGCGACAGGCGAGGCTGATGTTGCGTTTACGCACTTTGCCACGTGACCCTCGGCCAGACACTTGGACGCCCGGGCCTCCTGCAGCTCCCGTCTCAGCGCCAGAGTTTCTTCCTCGAACGCGGCGATCTCGCGGCCTTCGTTGCTACGTGCCAATCAACACACAATTTCCACCAATGTATTTATATACAGTGTATTTCAGGGCGCGGTGTCTCTCGATCAGCGCGGTGTGCAATGCAATCTTTTGCCAATTTTCTGCGTGTGGATGTTGCTCGGGTTTGTATTTGGCATGCGGACCCGAACGCGTGCGAGGTGTAAAAGTGCGGACGGGAGATGATAGAGAGAGGGAGAAAGAGAGGAGAGAGAGAGAGAGAGAAAGAGTGAGTGAAAAAGAGAGAGAGAGAGAGAGAAAGCTTGGATGCACTTTTCCAATGTCGAATCTCGATTGGTTGGATTGGAATGAACTCGCGAGAGACGGATTATTGGGTGATATTATTGGTTGGTGATTTCGAGCGAGGTTTGTGATACTCGATTGTGAGTATCTTTTTCAAGTCGTTTTTTCAAATGTTGCGGCACGGTTAATGCTTGGAAAAATGCTCGAGTTGTCGTTGCATTGTGTGGTGCGTATATATCCGAGGAGGAAAATAGTGAAAGTTATTTTAGCGGTTAGCTTTTTTTCTTGGATGCCAGATGAACAGGTTGCGAAGCATTGACAGGATTAACGCTCTTAATGATTTTTTTAGGTTGATCGTAGCTGGAATGGTTAAATGTGTGTGTGTGTGCGCGTGTGAGATAGGTATTTTATTTTGAAGAAATCGAGAAGAGATGCATGCTATGTTATTGAGGTAAGAAGATTTAATAATAATTAATAGAGAAATCAGAGATTTCCTGAATAAGTTGAAAACATATTATATATTTCTCTAATCGAATGAAAAATATGTAAATATGTAAAAAGAAATTTTGTCGATGAAATTGTTTTATTACGAAATTCTATACTCTATACTTTATTTATAATCGAATAAATCTATTGATAAAAATTCTACGTAGTCCAACTCTAAATCGACAAAAATTACAAAAATTTTTAATAATAATTTACAAAATTTACGTGAATTCAATTCTTGATGTAATATGTAAAAAAAAAGAAAAAAAAGGAATAAAACAATTTGCAACAAAAGAAATGAAGAAGTATTAAAGTTTGTTAAGAGAATGTGCAACGATCATGCAAAGCAATAAATAGGTACTCACTTTGCATTCAGCTTCAGCATCGCCACTTCCTCCTCCAATTTTGCTATTCTTCTGTCGCTTTCCTCTTTTTCTTCCGTTAATTTTATTATCCGATTCTGAAAAGGATCAAAGGAATTATTTACGAATGTAAATGAATTACGATATACGAAGATCAAGGTTTTAATCGAGAAGGATAATTACTAGACTTGGAAGAAAATTCTTTCGAGTCACAAAAGAGAGAGAGAAAAAAAATGAGGATAAAAATAAAAGATAACAATATCATTCGAGAACAGATAAGATGGCTCGACTCGTTTCGAAAGAAATCAAACAATTTACATAGCGGGCTGCAATTTTTCACGAGATAACGTTTCACCGACTTGCTAACACTCCGAATAATACAACGAAAAAATATATTGGATCCATCTTATCCCTCTCACCTCCGATCTTTCTCATTCTCTACGCTTTAAAAAATTTGGAAAAAGAAAAGGAAAAAAATTTAAGCATTTCCCTAATTTCTGTTAGCTTAGTAATGGAAATGAAAATGGCGGCGCGAGACGGAACAGGAACTTTCCATGGAGAGTACGAGCACTTGGCCCGCGTGAAAACGCGTGGAGAAACGCCGCGAGCATGGCAGAAATATACATACTGAAAAGTGGAAGGTCCCGGAGGTTCAATTACGAAGATTGGCAACGCGACGCGACGAGGAGAGGCGAGTATGACGCGGATGGCCATCGCTTCGGTTGATGAGGCTAATGGATGGTTGAAACCCGAGAAGGCAGAAGAGGGAAAAAGAGGGGGAGGAAAGAGGCCAAGGGAGAGGCCGTGACAGCCGCTAAGTGCCTCATCCTTCACCCTTCCTCCTCCTCCTCCTCCTCCTCCACCTCTCTTCCTCGCATAGAAAAATCCTTCCTTCTCTATCCTCCTTCTCTACCCATCCCCCACCTCCCCATAACTGCCACCCTCATGTGAAACCTAATCATTTTTACCAAGCGTCACGGATATTTCGTATTACGTCTACATTAGGTTCTCCGGTATCAGTCTGCCTTTTTATCGAAACCACGCTGCTGCTGCCTTTCGACTCCTCGATGAGATCAATTAGGGGTTGAAGTCGCTTTTTTTCGTCCCAAATAGATCCAATTAGAATCTAAGTTTTTTTTCATTTCGTTTCTTTCGATCTGACGATTTTTAAGAGTAAACGACTTTTTATACGTTTGTTAGTATGTTTCTTTAAGATTGTATGTGTATGTTTCTTTTTCAAGATTTAAGATATTGTTTCTTCTCTAAATATTTGAGAAATGGGGATTTACTTGGGCAATCTTCGATCCCCTTTCTACAAGATAATCGAAAACTAATTAAATGAGAATATAAATTTTGATTCTTGAACGTGAAGAAGAATAATTAAATATTCTTTATCAAGAATAACAATCGACGTCTTGGCTAGTTTCAATGAAAAAATCCATATTGAACAAGTTTCTGTGAAAAATTTCTCCAGCACAAACAATTGATTAAATACTGGAATTATTCCCATTGAATCCATTATTGGATATGAATATGTTCCATATATTCCTTTCTATTATGTAGTCGATATATTAAATATTAGGAAAAACAAGGAAGCTTGTATTTAAATAGCGCTGTATAAAAATTCCAATGTAAACGTACATAAATAATCGAAGAGAAAAAGAGAGGGATCGAGAAACGCGTACAGTGAAAAGAATTTGATCGATGAAAATTCGCGTACAGACGATAATCGAGAAAGGGAAATTGTAAGAAAGGAAAAATGGGGGTAGAGGAAAAGGGAGAAGCGCGGATCACCTGGCCGTCCTAATCAAACAGAACGTACGAATGCTACGCAAACAATATGTCCATGACCATGCCAGTGGAAATGCCGAAAGCGTTGGTCGGAGCGGCACATTACTGTAGCCTAGCTGCAAAGTCGGGAGAGAATGAGAAAAAGTGGATTCTTTCTTTCTCTCTTTTCTGTCTCTCTATACGTTTTGTTTTCACTTCCCACGTTTTCTATCTGCCGAACTTTTACGCTTCGAACTTCCTGCCTCTTTTCCACTAAATGAATTTTTTCTACAAACGACTAATCGTGAAAACTGATATAGCGGTGACACATTCTGTTCACTTGTGGAAAACTTTTATGTCGTTCAATATAACTGTTATGAATCAGTGTTTAATAACAATAACGATGTAAATCATTGAATGTATTGAATGTAAATTGTTTAGAATAGCATTTGTCTTTTTTTCTTTTTTTTTTTTTTTTTTTTTT